CCCGATACAAGAGGGCCTTGAGTATACTCGAGAAATCTGGAAACCTGCGCACCGCGAACAGTATTATTGGGTCCAATGTGATGGAGAACCTCCCAAATGGATGAAACCCAGCCGGCTGTTTCACAGGCTGAGCGTCCCGTCATGAACCTGGTGACTTCCAAGCAGCCTGACAGCAGATTCATGCCTATGGTTCTAAACTCGTATGTGCGTCGGGTACAGGCCGGATGTCGAGGCTTCGGCAGACTCCGCAGGCTCGCACAAAGATGGAGCCGTTTGTGGTCTCCATCTTTTTCACCCGCGAGTGTCCACCGCACTGCCGTTGTCTTTCGTTCCTATGCTGCCCATGTCGATTTACTCAATATCGATGCTCAGGAACTTCATCGTCGCTAACGCGGTCGAAGTCATTCTGGCCGCTCCCAAAAAGCATCTCGGAAAACAAGTCTTTAGTTTGCGCACGCAAACTATATGCTAAAAGGATCGCTGAATCAAAACGTATTGATGTAGGACCAATCTAGGAGTCCTGAGAGCAAGTTCTTGCTCCTCGAGATGGGGCCTTGGATTTGCTCGCGAAAGTTGTTAATTTAAGCACTAATCGTCTTCGCAAGCATAGCAGCTGGAGCGGACTGTGTCTCGTCCTGTCTTGTGAAGAATGACCAGAACTAGGGTGCTTTTTCATCCGAGAGGCTTCCCGAGGGCTCTCGCGACTATCTCAAGAAGGAGGACTTGGGAAGGGGCTCGAGATGGCAACGCCGGACTTGGTTCACCTTTGTTTCCGGGGCCTGTGTTTCTGGCTCGTGGTTTAGGCACGCTGCCTGTAGGCACTTTCAGATTGCTTTGCCACCGCAGCACTTGAAGCCTCAAGCTTGTCTCTAGAGTTGTTGTGCCCTGTTTCTGCGCATTTCATTCACATCCACTCTGTCGCGACTTGGCTGTTTGTCAGACGTCTTCCTCCAGCTCACCTGTCCTGCAAGATCAGCCAAACGCCAAAAGGTGATATCCAAATTCGAAGTAACTCTAAGAGACAGGTTCCCGTTCTGCCAAGGCAGCTTCCCCCAAGCTAGTGGGGGGCGCGGGTGAGGTGGAAGACGAATGTATTGAGGATCAGGATGAGTAAGAAGAAGATGAGTATTGTTTCAATGGTGACGACGATGACGATGATGATAGCGACGATTACGGTTTCGATGTTGATGATAATTAAGTAGCGCCGTTCGCGATGACGATGAAGAACGAAGAGGCAGATGAGGAATTCTTATTGGGATGACGATGGTAATTGTGACGCTGACCGCCACAAAGAGTGGAGGAAGAGAACCACTACGAAGGTGGCTTGTCACCATGATGATGATGTTGATGATGATGATGATGATTTTATGGGCCGTCGAAGGGGCTTTCCTGCAGTGAAGCAACATGCGACGCAAGGTGTGAATGTGGTGCTATGCGTCGAATGTGAGTAGCAGCTTTCAACACGAAGACGACTAAGGAGACATGGCACGTTATTTTTCGGTGATCGCTTTGCTCGTTGGCCTCGCAGCAGCAGTGCGTGAAGAGTCGCCGTCCTAGCATATGCAGATCAGGGGCTGTCCACATGCAGGTGTGTTTGGCGGTGTTGACAGACCCTAGACAGCCGACAATCCAATATCATCCTACCTAGTACCTGACTGACCAGCGACTAGCACTGCAAACCGCATTGGGCAACTGTGTTGATAAGGAGTCCGAAGTCACAATGGGGGGCAAAGGGCTCATTCGGAGTTCATATCCACAGCGTGGCTTTTTCATTCCGGCAGCAAGGCAGCTGGAGTGCATGGTCTAAGGTTTGACGGCTACCTTGATTGGGATTTCGCCCAGCAAATCATGATACGTTGAGAACTTGTCAGGACTACTTTAGCGTCCTCCCACACCGCCAGGGATCCAAGAGTCAAGAGCATACGTCGGGTGCAAAGGAGCTTTCTCGGGCTATCTCAGAAGGCCGACGTTGGATGTGATGCGCTCTCGGTAGTTCGCTAGCTTCGCATGATCAGGAAAGCCTCAGGCACAAGTCTAACTTGTCTCAGTGCTTTGGAAGCTGACTCTCCTGGATCCTCCCCAAAAGCCTCGCTCAAATGCCCAGTGGAAGGAACCTGTGCAAGGCCGATGGTTGCAGATGCAAGCGAAGCAATATCTCGAGGAATGGCAGTGCAATGTTCTGGGCACAGGCTTCGCTGAATGCCCCAACGCGGCCAACGCACACGAGATACATTGAGAACCCTGTGGAATGGACCCGTATAAGCCAGCACGATCCATCAAGCTGTCTGGGCTTGCTCAGGACCCACCAAGAAGCCTTCCTGGAAGAGGGCCTTGACCAGGACAGCTGATAGTTTTTCCACAGAACGTCGGGCACCCTGTCGACATGAAAACCGTGACAAACATGCAAGCATCCCAGCATGCACGGCACGCACATGTGCATCTACGCATCTATGCCTGTATTGTGACCCTCTCTCGCTCTCTACTTGCTGACTTCCTTTGATATACATATACACGTTTAGCACAGAAATGCGTTCTTCTGCTCTGTTTGCCTCTGTCTTGCTTTGCTCCCTCTATACCGATCGAGTAGACCTGTTGCTTCCTGTGTAGATGTTCGTTTGGCCCCGTAGTCGCCAGTAGCGTTTGCTGCGACCAGTCCTTGGGCTTCCGGCTTCGTGGAGATGTTTGATTTGTCAAAGGAATTTGCTTACGCCTTAGACAATTCAACTGCCAAGTTGACGCGCTCGGCGAACGGCGCTCTCTGATCTCTGGCGGAGTCTCACAGTAATTGAGTCTCCGCAATCGGTTGTCGCACACGAACTCCCGTACTCCAGCTCTCACAGGAGATGAAGTTGGTTCCGGCCAAGATCAGCAAGGTGGAAGATAATTCTTGCCCTTGGGCACTCATGTCTTTGAAGTGGCAAGTCGAATGACCATGTAGATGGCCCACCCCTTGCACTTTGTGAGGCCATTCGACGAGCGGGTCGGCATGCTCAGGAGCCTTGGTGACTGGCGCAGTGGTGCAACCTCTAACTGACTCTAGCTCCAGAGCCGTGCCCATCCGAGCGCCCGGCATGCCGGCTGAGAGTTGCTGAGAAACTTTCAAGCGGTGGATCACCGACGTCTATTGAAGCTATATCGTGGGGTTGGGCCACCTGCGTAGCCATTGGGCATCTTTGTTCTTGCGACTCGATCTGCTTCCTGGACACCCCTCCGGCCCAGATTCACAGACTCACAGATCTCTGCAGGAAGCAATGCAGGCTGCCGAAGAGAAGAAGGCCAACATGACGCAGGCCAAGGCTGCGGCGACCCAAAAGGCGCGAAACTATCAGAATCTGCAACAGTCGTAGCCTCCTGTGGTTGTTGCATTGTATCTTGATGCCACGTTTTGGCTTTCAGCCCTTTTGAGCCTTCACGCCTGTGAGCAGCCATAGGCACGAGAAAAGACCTCCGCGCGTCTTTGTGCACATCCAAGCTCTAAGAGGGCTTCTCTTGAGATCTAACACCATTGCTGAGCCCATTCAACGCTTTGTGCTGGACCGGTTCGTGTGATCTATCTTATCTGCCAGTGCAGCTAGCGCCTCCGCTACTGCACTGGTAGCGGAGCACCTTCGGACCAGGACCTGGAGCTTCGCTGAGGTGCTTATCTGGCCCTTTGGGGCACCACCTGGAAAGCCTTTAACTGGCAGGCTGTCGTTTCCCAGTGATCTTCTTCTTCGAGTGGTAACTGAACTGTCTTTGGTTGTATCTGGTAGAGTTTGCGGTTCTTCGCGGTTTTCACGGAGAGCTTCTGACTGTACCGGAGATCAGACCTTGCAGAAGAGATGCCTTTTACCGAAGGAGGAGACAGCGGCGGTACCATTCCTGTATGGGATGGACACCCAAAGGGGTGGCGACGTTATGCTAGAGAGGTTGCCTGGTATGTTCAGAGCACCAAGCACACCCAGAGAAGGTACCTGGCGACGCGGTTGATCGGGCGCCTTTCTGGTAGCGCCAGGTTGTTGGCCATGTCGTGGCCACAAGGGGAGTTTGACAGCGACCTCGGGGTCTTGATCTACCTGAGGAAATTAGCTGCCTCGCCCCTGGTGCGCAGGTCTTTGCCGAACGCAGCGGCGATCATGGCACAATACTTCCAGTTCCGGCGCCAACCTGGAGAGAGCATCACGAACTTCTTGGTTCGGGAGACCCTTGGCTTTGAGGAGTTTAATGAAGCTCTTGTTCGCTTACGTGAAGAACGCCAGGGGATCACGATCGACAAGCAGCTCTTCGGTTTGGAGACCCTCCTGAAGAAAGAGGAGGAGAGCCACGACCGGTGGCAGGACCGGTCTTCAAGCTGGTGGTGGCGCCGATCCTGGTATGAGGACGACGAGGACGAGGGCGAGTTCATGGAAGGTGGACCGGACGCTGAGGAGACAGTCGAGGAACGAGAAGTCCAGACACCCAGCAATCGAGCTCCACCTGAAGACCAAGGTGGAGAGGGCCAAACTCCCCCCGAGACAGGCTCCCAGACCTCGAGGAGATCCCATCGTGTTCCTCAGCATCGTGGTGTTCAGACAGAGGACGACACCTTTGACTCCTTCATCCTGGACGTGTTGAGGGGATGGAGGCTGCTCCAAGCAGCCAGCCTCACTCTCGAGGAGAGAAGGGATGTTCTGTCGGCAACAGCCAACCGCTTGGATTTCGAGTCAATCTCTAACGCTCTGCAGGTACTGTGGGACGAGCAGTTGTCCGGTGCTCGCCGACAAGCTCCTCACCATGGAGGTGGAGGCCCACAGGTCTTCAATCTCGAGGAGCAACACCATGTCGAGCAGAACGACTGGGAAGCCGAGGACTGGTCGCCACAGTCCTGGGATCAATGGCAGTATGCCGGTGAGATGGACGAGGTTTGGCAATCTGAGTGGGACCTTCCGCCTGAGGAGCCGGAGACAGACTAGCTCTCGAATGCGGAGCTGAATAATGCTCAGGTCCGTGACGCCTTGCAGGCTGAGCGCGCTGCAGAGGCAATGGCTTCAGAGGCAGCAATGACATGGCGTCGCGCACAGCAGGCCACCGCTGCTGTGCGCAAGGATCGTGGCTTTGGAGCCGGGTCCGCCTTTCGAGCGGCCATAGCAACGGACCAGTGCCACCTTTGCGGTGGCTTCGGACACTTTGCTCGCGACTGCAAAGGAGGTGGCAAGAAGGGCAAGGGCAAGGGTGCTCACACCATGGAGTACGACTACGACTACTACGACGACACCGTGTACTACGTGGGCGGCGGCAAAGGCAAGAAGAAAGGAAAGACCAAAGGCAACTTTGGGCTGAGCAAGGGTCCCATGCACAAGGGCAAGGGTGGCAAGCCGATTCGTGTACACCCCGGAGTCAACGCCTATGGCATGGAGATGCTCGGCTCCCTTGGCGATCCCTCGCTTTTTCAGGCATCTCAAGAACGGGATGCTATTTCTCCAGATTCCGGGCTCCTGGACTGCGGAGCAACAGCCTCGGCGGGTCCTGAAGCCAGTGTTCAAAGGCTCATTGCAGCAGTCATTGAGCAGGACTCGCAGGCGACGATCACCATCGATCAGTCTCGTCGGCCATATTTTCGCTATGGTTCTGGGGCTTGGGGTCGTGCACAGTATCATGTTACCATCGGGTCCAAGGTTTCTGGAAAGAACAAGCAGTTTGAGGTGTATGCCCTTCCCAATCCTCCAGAATATGTGGAACCCTGGTTCAGACATCACATGCTGGTACCCATCCTGGTAGGTATGAGTCACATTGGGGCAACGGGCGCGGGCATGATCATTGACTTTAATGACGGTTCCTTCCTGAATGCAGCTGACATAGCTAATCACCGAGAGCTACCTCCAGAAGAAGCACGGCACATGTCCTCAAATGCCAAAGGCCACTACATCCTCAATCTCGTCGAGTACCTCACTGGAGGCCAGGTCTGCAAGGAAGGGAACTGTTCGGTGGTTGTGAAACATGCCACGCCTACTCCGTTCTCAGTGGATCATGAACCTACCTCAGACCATGTACCTTTGCCGGGAACTGATGCTGACTTGCCGTTGCAATTCATGTACCCGCTAGAGATGTTTGAAGCCACGCCCATGCTGATGAGTTCCGAACAGAATGATGATGTTGAGTTTCGACGGTTGTCCATGAAGAAGATGCTACAGTGCCACATGTCCGAAACCAGCAATGCGGCAGCTGTTGAAAGCTCGAGGATGAGCGGAAAGTCCTCCTCGTTTGGACAACGACGCCTTCGTGAACCATGGCGCCCAAGAAGTCATCGGCAATGCCGGCTCTCGATCCGGAGCGCTTGGTCGAAGCCGACCCGCGCGACCCCCGGGCCTTGCGGACGCAATGGCCTTGCTACGGGTACCACCCCGAGGTGTCGGTGGGCAACAACAAGTACGGCCAATGGAAGCATTGCGCAGTCTGTTCGTACAGACTTTCTTACACTCCTCGAGAAGGCGCGCCAGGATCCGACACCAAGACGGAGAACTTCGTCACCGTGCGACGCGCTTTGTCACAACTACATGCGGACATTGGGGATGTGCAGGTCATCGAGGAGATGGTGAAGGTCGCGATCGAGATGGAGTATGCCAAGAACCGCTACCACCAGTTGATTCAGAAGTTCGACAAGAAGAAGGCGGTGGCGACTCATCCAAAGCCGGCGGCTACTACATCGACACCGGTGGCGACGACGACGAGCGGCTACAAGGTGACGGTGGAGAACGAGCTCCTGAATCCGAACCTGGTGGATATGGAGGACGGACCACCCGGGAGGCCATCACCGACATCGTCAATGGGGAGCTGGGCGGTGGCCGCCACTCCAGAGCAGCAGTGAAGGCGACAGTTCCAAAGCGGGTGGCCCAATGCATCATGGCAGCCTTCACCGTCCTCGCGGGCACCTACAGGAATGAGATGCAGAACTTCCTGGCTGAGTCCGGCCACTGCAGTGTGTGGGAAATCGGATGTAGTCCGACTTCTTTGCTTACAACGGCTTGTCAATCTGAAGGACTGCGAGCCTACCGGGTGAATCACGCCAACGGCTATGACCTCTACAAGCGCGAGACCTATGACAAACTCCGAGAACTATATAAACAGCACCGCCCACGGCGAGTTTGGATCACACCTCGGAGCGACCGGTGGCAGCCATGGGGCCACCTTAATCATGGAACTTGGCAGGAGAGGCAGTCCTTGGAAGCTCATCGGCGTCACGAGCGCACGATGCTGCGGCGCCTGGTGGACCTCGTGGACTGGATCCTCACACAGAACTCGATGGTGGAAATCTTTTGGGAATGGCCATCGGAGAGCCTGGGCTGGAAGGAGGAAGCGATGACCGTGCTGGAAAAGCAAATATGGAAGGCCAACAAGGATTGGCTGGTATGTCGCATGGATGGATGCCGCTACGGCCTTCGAGACGGCGACAAAGGCGCCTTCATCAAGAAGCGGTGGATGATCCGAACCACGTGCCCTCGCTTCCACTCCATGTTCAAGACCAAGGTGTGTGTTCAAGATCACGCTCATGTTCCAGCCAAGGTGATGGACCAAAAGGGGCGCCTGGACTATCCTTGGCGCTTTGTGAGCTCTGTGGCCAAGGCTTGGACGGACCATCTGTTTCCTCTACGGCATTTGGCAATTCCGACGCAAGCCTACAACTACGCGGCTGACGAGCTCGATGGTGAGAATCCAGAAGAGGATGGAGTTGATCTTGATCGAGATGATGATCCTCCTGATCCAGACCAGGACGGTCCATCTGAGGAAGAAAAGGCCAACTGGGAGCGCAAGCTTCGGAGGTTCCACAATGCGGCGGGACATCCCTCGAACAGTCAGTTGGCCCGCATCGTGAAGGAGGCGGGCAAGCCGAAGTGGATGATCGACGCCGCTCAGAAGCTTCATTGTCCTCACTGTGCTTCGGTGTGTCCCGGTGGGATATCTTCCAAGCAAGTGCCTCCACTCTCGACACGACCGCTACCACAAGCTTGGCAACAAGTGGTTTCTGATGTTGGGGAGTGGACAAGCGCGGCCCACAAGTGCAAGCTCAAGTTCATTGTGTTCGTGGATGCGGCCACTCGGCTGCGTGTGGCCGAGCCCCTTTTCAGGTGTGCCATTTCTGAGATGAAGAATGAGACCGGGCTACAAGTGGTGGAAGCTTTCTCGAAACGGTGGCTCAGTGACAAGCCCAAACCCGAGATCTTCATTCCAGACAACGCTACCTCCTTCAAGTCCCGTCACTTCCAGGACTTTTGCTCGAGTGTGAACATTTGGGTCGCACCGCCAGCTGAGGCTGAGGCCTGGGCCCATGGCGTTGCAGAAGCTGTTGTCCAAGACTTGAAGGAGGTCATGGAGAAAATCCAGTTGCACAATGCCTTCCTTCAGCCTGAGACTTGTCTTGCTTTGGCCACAGGTGCTCTGAACCAAACTTCCTTTGTGAAAGGGTTCTCTTCCTACCAGTGGGCCTACGGCAAGCAGTTCACCTTCACGGACGAGGACGAGATCACGATGTCTCAGGTCAAGGCCGACGCACCCTTTGCGGAGTTCAGTCGTCTTCTTTCATTACGACATGACGCGGAGCAGCGGGCAAAGGAAGTGCGGGCACAGCGTGTGTTGTCGAAGCTTAAGAACACCATCCGTCGACAACCCCTTCGGACCTTTCAGCCCACTGAGATGGTCAAGGTATGGCGGCGAGCCCTACCTCTTGAACTACATCGTGGACGTGATGGTGGATCTAAGAAAGCGGGCCGTCACCATTGGATTGGTCCTGGGAGAGTGGTGCTACACGAGACTGTGCCTCACCAAGCGGAGGATGACTATCTGAGGCACATTGTGTGGGTCGTCATCGGCGGCAAGCTCTACAGATGTTCGGCACACTCCGTGCGACCGGTGACGGAACAGGAGCGAGCATGGCATCACCTACAGACCGAGGAGGATGCCTCAAAGTGGCGCTCGCTCCAGGACATTATCCCGACCAAGGAGTACACCGACCTCTCCAACCAAGAGCCTCCTGGAGATGTGGCCGGGGACTTTGATCCTGATCTACCACAAGCACCAGACTATGAGACGTGGATGCCATCCAAGCGCCTACGGTACAAACAGATGCCACCACTACGAACCGCGCCACCTCCTGTACTACAACCCGTTCCGGAACCCGTCAACGACTACGACGAGTACTCTCCGTCTCTTCCTCCATCAGAAGCCCCTCCTCCCAATGAGACTCGCATGGAGGATGACGAGGAGTTTGATCGGATGCTTCGAGAAGGAGGTGACACTGGTGGTGAAAAACGTGCGACTTCATCTACGGCAACTCCTTCTCCAGAGTCCAAGAGAGCACGTGTGGATGTGGATGAGTTTGAGGAGGAGCTGACACTCCACACAGCATTGCAGGAGAGTGAGTGTGCCTACATCATGGAGTTTGACATGAATTTGATGTCACAGCGTCAGATGAAGAAGTTCCTACGGTCACCTTCGGCGTATTTGGTCGGGAAGATGAGAGATTGTGAAGTTCGCTGGGATCGTCTTACGCCCCAGCAGAAGGAACTCTTCACAAGGGCCAAGACCAAAGAGGTGAGCAGTTTCATCAAGCAGGAAGCGGTGCGCATGTGCCACAACTACGAGGAGGAACAAGAGGCGCACAACAGTGGACGCATCATGAAGTGCAGATGGGTTTTGACATGGAAACCGATACCGGAGGAAGAACGAAAAGAAGCACTACACTACATGATGCCACTACGAACCCTGCCACAACTACCGAGGTGACGGGAATGCGGAAGGCCAAGGCCCGCATTGTGCTACTCGGCTATCAACATCCAGATCTTCTACGAGAAGGATTCAGTTCAAGTGCCCCGGTGCAGTCCGTGCTCACGAGGAACCTAGCGTATCAGATGGCAGTCCACAATGGCTGGGCGGTTGAGGGCCTCGACCTCTCGACTGCTTTCCTTCAGACGGCTCCGAAGGAAGAGATGCGCATCTGGACCGAGGGAGTAGCTGAACTACGTCAAGCCCTAGGACTTCGGGACGATCAGCTGCTTCGAGTACTTAAAGATTTCTATGGATCGGCGACTGCACCAAGAGGCCTGTGGAAGGATCTCCATGGTACCTTCACCAAACTTGGAGCCGTGAAGATCATGTCGGACCCATGTATGTGGATCTGGTCCGAAAAAGTGGAGAAGCCGAGGAATGAATGGGATCAGTGGCGTACCATCGGAATGATGGGAGGCCACGTTGACGACTTCAATCGTGCCGGTGACCGCCAAAACCCTAGGTGGTGTGCCATTCGTGAACAGATCGACAAGGCATACCAATGGGGCACCATCAAACATGGCAGCTACCGCCATGCGGGCACCGACATCATCACGAGGCACACGCATGACGATGGAATGTTCATCGAGGTGAACCAGGATCAGTACATCGAGGCTATTGCTGACTTTGACCTGGCGTCCCAGTCCAATCGTGTCTTGGATAGCCCCCTGACTGAGAAGGAGGTCTCGTCATGCAGAGCGGCACTAGGCGCTCTCCAATGGGTGGCGGTCCAGACTCAGCCACTGATCTGTGCCAGGTGCAATTTGATCATGTCGGACCTGTCCAATGGTCCCAAGTTTGCCTTGGCAAAGGAGATCCAGCAGCTCATTACCGAAGTCAAAAGCGATCCTCAGCGCTTGACTTTCAAGCGACTCCCGGAAGTGCGACATTGGCAGGACATGCACGTGGTCACTTTAGGCGACCAGGCGCACAACAACAGGCCGCGAGGCGGCTCAACAGGCGGTCTCCAAGAAAGGCCGGTCGACATCATAAAGCGCTCTTTGCGTCAAACGACCGTATAGAGCATTTTTCGGTTTTGGACGATATATAAACAGATTTTTCGAGTTGGTTGAAATACGTGACGAAAACCGAATAAAGATAAAGTCGGTTGGATTTGTTTTGACAGTAAACACGAAAAACTGGATTTGAAGACAAGCAGGCTTAGAAATTTCAGATAAAGCGACTCGCGAGATGCAAAAATTCCGCCCGATATGCGACCAACCGCGAACATGCGTGCAAATATGCATGCGACACTCACAGAGCAGTACGTCGGCTGCAGACTTTTCCTCGCAGCAGTCACGACATGTCGGTTCCGACCCAACGGAGGGCGGCTAGCAGGCAGTAATGCTGCAAGGCCCGCAAGCTCATGGTGCGAGGATGCGAGTGCTCGACGATCCGCCTCAGATCGTGAAATCATGCGTGAAATCTTGTGTGCGAATATGCGTGAAATCATGCGTGAAATCTTGTGTGCGAATTGCATGTATGCATGTGCATGCATGTGAAGGCGAATTGCTTGACCTTGCCGATGAGATCCTCGTCGAGGAAACAACTGTAGTACCGGGGATTCCCGGCCTCAGGAACCCAATCCAAGATCCTTGGATTCGGACATGCATGCATGCATGAAGATCTTGCATGCCACCGGTGCATATATGCGTGCAAGTCAAACAACAAAAAATCTGATGTTCTCGAACCTAGGCTGCACGTGTTCCAGTTGGTGCATTTTGGGTCGCAGGTTATACCTGTACACCCCTTGCTCGATTGCTTCGCGGGCCAGGGCATCGTACACGGATCTGTACTGCATATATGCCCGCTCAAGGACGATCTCTGGGTGGCCATCGCAATCCTCGGCATCGTGGTCCCAGTAGCGCCTGAACGTCTTAACGTGCATGCATCCTTGGACCCTTGACCGTTTATAACTTTCAAACACATGCATGATTAAAAAAAGACGATTAGCCCGGACACGGGTGTTCAGCAAACACTGTCAGCATGGTGCTCAATGCTCCGAAAAGGCTGGCACGAACCTCATCCTCCTTTTTTCTCGAGAAGTCGTACATAAAGTAAACCATGTATCGAGAAGCAGCTGCCTTGAGATATTTCTGCGAAACGTGAGGATAATCCTTGCTTTCTCCCAAGGTCTTTGACAGGAACAGCTTGGGATTGGCACGATCCTGCACTCCTCAGGCTGAATATCCATCTAGCGAACACATGCATGCTACCAGCTATATATATATATATTATAATCATAATAAATGCGTGCTTGAGTGCCTTCCTGCCGACACCAGTCTGCGTACTCATAGCCAATTGCCCGCAGTCTAGCATCTCGCGAACGACCTGGTGCTTTGCCAGCGTCGGAAAAGTCCAGCAAGGCCGAAGTAATACAATCCACAGATATTTGCAAGTCCAGAATGTGCAGAATATCTGGGTAAACTCCTGCAAGATCGAAGTATGTCAAGGATCCATGGCTGAAACATACCTAAAAACTCACAGGCTCGAATTTATAGTCATACAATAATTGCAAAGCAAGACTCGCTTGGGTGAAAATCCTACCAATTGCGTGATGCATGTTGCACAGTGGACAGCTTCCCAATCTGCCCGTGTCTGCAGGATCCTGGACAATCAACATGTGCTACTTGGCAATCGTGCGTGTGTATACACATATATATTATAATGCTGCGAGATGCGTGCGACGATGGCGGGCATTTCGACCAAACTCAGTGTACAGCATGTCGTGGCTCCCACCGGGCTCCATGATCTGCGTTGCCGCACAGTACTGGCAACACTCCTTCCTTGTGCTGTGCCAAGATCCTGAGCAACAAAAACAAGGGCGAGGTATATGTCAGTATATATGTATATATGTATATAATGGTAAAAAAAAAACACACATGTCTCTTGCGTGGCCAGTCTCGTTGGAATCGAAATATCTTATGAAACCAGTCTTGGTCGCCTTGAAGCCCAGCCATCACAGCTCGCCACTCTCCGGCCAAAGGCTGGCCAACTTTGTCTCTCCGATATCCTTTTGGCCACTCTTGACCGAAAGGGTCTCGTCGAGGCCAGCGGCCACGACCTGTATACATGCATGCATGACATGCCATTTCGTGCACGGCATGCGGGATATATGATGCGTGTACTAGCATGCGTGCGTGCCACCCAGGCAGCGGAAAGACCATGCAATGATCTCCAGGATCTGGTCTCGCACCTCCTGGCACAGAGCGTTGTGGATGGATCCATGGATCATGCAATTAACGATCGGCCTCGCTTGTGCTAATGGCATTGCGGATACATATCCTTGCAAGCAGCAGTATATGCATATGCACATATTGATTTCAAAGCATATAATCCATGGCACGGAATGCGAGTGTCCAATGTACTCGTCTTGTTGGTGCAGACGGAGACAAGACTCATGAGCTCGAAGCTGCCATTGCCTGAGGTATATATACACACACACATAAATTTGTATTAGATATATATCTAAGTATATATTTGCAGGACGGTGTAGTGCTCTTGGCTTCCAGCTCCAGGCTTCGGCACCGTCGCCGTAGAGTCGCCAGGGCATGATCTTACGGAAGGAGACCTTTTTGAATTATCAGGTATACGAGTTTAAGACATATAATCTGCGGCCACAACTTTGCCTGCGGGCCCCATGCTCCAGCAATTTCGTCCGAAAGGTCGGCATTCTGCTGCCAGAATTTCTCGAGATCCTGTAGCATGTAATATGCTACGAGGCTGGCCAATTGCATGCGTGTTTAAGTTTCAAGATCCAACCTCTGGAGTTCCGGTCAAGAAGTCGCTGAACAGATGCCCTCCGAAGTCGTGCATGCGAGCGAAGACTTCGTGAGGAAGAAGCACACCGATGGTGACATTGTGCTTTGCTTCCTCATTCCCCACCTGCAGTTCGTGCATGCTAATTTTCAAGCATGCGTGCAAATTCAATGCGTGCAGGATTATAATTTAAAACACAAGATTGCCAATGCATCTATGTCACCCGGACCCTCGGCACCTGGAACCTGCAGATGCGAAATGAATGCTTCGATCCATGCATGAAAGCATCAGCACATGTATCATGAACATAATAAAAATGTTGATCTGCATCCATGCACTCGTATGGTTCCGGAAGGCATGCCCGTGCAGGCAGCTTAAGGCACCAGCGGTTGAAGGTCCGCTCCAGACCCCATCCATGGGAATTGTGGAAAGCATCAGCCAGCTGCAGCACCCGCCGGGGCACCAAGAACCGAGGCAGTTCGCTCAGGGTCTGAAGGCTCTTAGCCAGCCGCGTCATGCTTGCCTCGATCATGCATGTTATGGTTCAGGATATATAATATATATAGGGTTTAAGGTTCTAGGGTTATAGGGTTTGGGTTTTAGGGTTCAGGCTTTCGGCGCTCCGACTGCGATGATGCAGGCGAGGCATGCATGCGGGTCGAGGGAATTTCATATATATAGTTTCGGTTGATTGGTTTCGAAGCATGCATGCGTGTATGTATGCTTCATGCATGAGGGTTGAAAGTTGAGGGTTTAAGAGTTTAACATGTATGCTTCATGCATGAGGGTTGCAAGTTGAGGGTTTAAGAGTTTAAGGCATGCATGATCGAGGGATCTGGGTTCTTTTCAACATGCATGATCGAGGGTTGAGGGGTTTAGCTTTAGAAAGCATGCATGATTTTCGATACCTCGCCCTTCATGAGCATGTCCAGGAAGTCTGTCACGAGCTTGGAGATCGCGGTGCCGTGCCGCGTAGATGCCAAGGCGTGACCTGCGTGGGTATAGCAATAGCATAATACTTCATGCATGCTGGCGACCTGGCTTGAAACTTGCAGGCACGATAGCATTTTGGCACAATGACCACTTATCCGAGGCTTTCGTCTGCAACGGGAGAAACTACTTACATGATCATCTTCATGTCACAAACTTATAATCCCTACACCTTGACCCCTAAACCCTGAACCATATATAACCTAAACCCTCAACCTCAAAATGCATGCATGAAGGCACTGGCAGTTCTCGGAGCTTTTTCAATCGTGTGCCACTCGGAGCCTGTGATCGCGTAGCCTAACACAGGCTGTCGGTGCAGAACTATACGGAACGAAATGCATTCGCCGGGAACTCAGTTTCATGAGCCACGAGCAATGCTTTGTGAAAACCCGGGCCAGATCCTAGAGTGCATGTGCATGCCGAGGCGACTTACTTTACTTCGGTTTATTTTCAAAATGCATGCAGCTATTGCACCCTTCAGTACTCTGGCGTGGTACCCTAGGCGGAGGCAGCTTCTTGCTTCTTCTTCTCACCTTAATCCGATCGAACCCTCAGCAAATATATTTTTGGTAGATATATACATGCATGCTCCTAGAAACTATATAGACCCTCAAGGCACATGCATGTCAAACCGGATTGGGAAACCCAGACACTCAAGCAAAAAACATTCCAGCACGTGACGGTTCTTGTGACTCCTGACGACAGCAGCTGCATTGTTGATAGCATCGTCCATAACCTCATTCATGTCAAGAATCAGGTGCCGATCTTTCCTAATTTAGGAAGTGCCTGAAACTTGCTCGCGTTCTTTTCGACCTTGTCCAGCAAGAAGCGTGCGGTCTTGCCATTGCTTTCATCTGTTTCCAACCTGTGTTCCATATGGACTCAAGTAGGCCGCACAAATGATGCATGCCGTGGCCTTCGCGTGAAATCAGATAGCCAGTTGAACCACTTTTTGATGAACTCATGCTGCTCCTGCAAAGATCGAGCTTTATAAGACACCAGGAGTCGCCCCTCGCAGGCATCCGCACTGCTCACACTCACACTGCACCCGCTCACAGCAACTTTTTTCCCTGCACAGCTTATAATTGGATCCCGTGCATGTATGTGCAGCTAATTATCCATCTCGCAGCGGCATTCAAAATCATCATGCCACAAGGAATCAAATTTGGCGATTTCCTTTAAAGAAAGGAACTCAATAATGTAACACCTCGAGCAGTGCAAACAGTAGCCCGTCTGTTTGCACAGTGACCACCAGCCGGCCAGCTCTCGCACC